AAATGCATACTTTTGTTTTAATGTTGAAATTTCTACAAGTGTGAAAGGATAAAAGTGTACTGTCTTAATTTTTAAAGGTTATGTAGTTGCCAACGGACCTGAATATATTGAGTATGCTTAAATGATGGTGGTGATTAATACCAGTTTAATACCTTACCTCAATTCACTTTCATTAGTCGCACAAATTTGATGTATGTGGAAAAGAGGTGTAGAAGTCTATACAAATACAAATCTTGGGGCCATTAACATGCATGGGATTTTTTTTTCAGATTTACAATTAAAAAGATTCCAATAATCAGACAATGAAATATGTGGAATACCTGAAATATGGACCAGTTTTATGTGTATGTTTGGTTCTTAACAAGAACAGTGAATAAGTACTCCTTTATGGAGTCTTTATGGAATTTTTACCCTAAGACTCATGTAAAATGCTTGATCAAATAAGATGAAATTGGTCATGCATTTTGTCCCTGATTTACTAAAGGTTTGCATATGTGAAAACATGCAAAATTGGTAACAACCACAAAACCCTTGCAAGTTGATCTTTCACCTGAGGAAAATATCAAGTCTTGTCCATTTTGCATGTTTGGCTTAACAAATATGCTATTTGGGGCATTTGCATTTGAGGTACAAAATACAAGGCAGTGTCAGTGCAAGATTATACCATTATACCATCATAAGATTATTCTATACCTTAAGGGCAGCTCAACCTCCAATAAGAATGTATGATGTGCAAACAGTGAGGCTGTCACTGCCACTTTTGTGTGTATACATTTGTGTGTTTGTGTGCATCTCTTTCTATTAAGAAATATGAAATGTCATGTGTGAGGTTTGAATCAGAGAACATTTCAATTACTGAAATGAATAAATCAATTACTGATCACCAAAACAAAAACACCATAAGGGTGGTTGCTTTTAACTGGTGAAATAACAACATTGACTTTCCATATGTAATGAGAAATGGTGTTTGAAGGGACTTTGTTCATGAAGATGCTAACTAAACATTAGCTTTCAAGAAAAAAACAACCTAAACACTCTAAATTATAAAACGGATAGATTCAGTTCTTAAACCTAATTGGGTGAGTTGCATTTGAAGCTGTTGTAAAAAAAAAAAAAAAACACACACCAGTGAATGCATCACAATAATTGAATTCTGTATTAATGTGCCAGGTTTTAAAACCAATAAAACTGTTATACTACGGCCATTGTTCTGTCTATAGAATGCCCTAATCTTTGTCTGGTATGTTGCTTAACTACCAAAGGATACTGTTAACACACTACATTGCGTGACAGAATTGTTTATTGTGAATATTATTACTAATAAAATAAATTATTTATTAAACAGTGGAATTTTTGTTGTGAGTTGCGTCCACTGCCTCCTCCTCTCTGTTTGCATCATTACAAGCAAATAGATTCTACTAGTTAATCATATTTTTGAATGCAAATGTTACAGAAAGAAAAGGAATGACTGGAATGACTGGCCTTTGTCATTTTGTATAGCATACCTTGTAACTTGTACCTTTCAAATTCAGAATAATGATGTTTTGTCAGTCGTGCCACTTATTTGGCCTGTCCTCTCTCAAATGTGCCCATCGACTATTGTTAGGTTGCCAGCAATTCAATACCAGGATCAATATATTTTGATAAAATCTTACATTTTCATTTCATCTGTCTGCAATAAAAGATTTTAGCAACCACATAGACCACATAGCAAAAGCAGCCTGTGGCACTAGACTCTGGTTCTATTTCATCCCTCCCAACCACCAGGGGAGGTGTTTAACTTGTGCATGTGCCGAAATCTTCACCAAAGTCCTGAAATGACAGTGACATAGTATTTACTATAAATACCTTCTGCAATGTCACTTCGGCTCCTTTTCTCTACTCGCCAAAGGTCATTGCCAGGACTGCATGTGGCTTTTGGAGCTATTCTGTGCAGTTTTTGTCTTGTGTGTGCTTTGTGTTGGAGCTACAGTTATTCTGCTCTCAAAGTTGTAACAGACTCAGATTTTTCTCTTCTGTTTTTCTTCTTTCTTTTCTCCCACTGGCGTGAATGGATCCATTCCTTCGATGCATTGACTGTGACTTGCTAGCTAGAATCGCTTTTGTTAGCTTAGCTGTTAGCTTAAACTCCTAGGTGTTCGAGATCCCTCTTTCTACTTCCGACTGGCCATACACTCAGCTGCTGTATTTATGGGAAAGGAGTATACAGGGAAAGGAGGACATTACAGTGATGGCCAGATACATAAATCACCAGAGCAGCACGACTTGAAGAGCACCCTCCACCTCATACGGAATCTCCTCAAGTGAACTCACCAATGACGAGTCTCACTGAGAGCAATTTACCAGTAAATTATCAGTAAGATGCATACAGTAGGGTAAATAGCAATTTACTGTACTGTATGCATTTCCACCACTTTTGCTGATTCTGCCCATGTTGCACAGAATCCAGAGTTCTACTAGTGGCCAATAAATGTCCAGCAAGACCCTGGTTTCCAGTGTTACTTCCACTACAGGCTGACTTATTTTCTCAGATGAACAAGGAAGTGTGGCACCCTGACCCGCCTATCTGCGCCTCTGGAGTATGGCCCCTGGAGCAGTGAACAGCTCGTTGACTGCAATGTAGCAGTCCACAAAACGTTCCTGAATGCTAGAGCCCCTAGTATTCAGGTTTATACCAGCGTTTCCTAAACTAGGGGTTGCAAATCCAAGTGGGGTCAGTTGATTTACAAATTCTCGCAAGAGAAACTCACAATCTCCTCTTTTGTTTTATTAATTTCTTTTACAAAATAATATTAGCAATATCGAAGATGGATTTTGTGTGCTAATATTTTTAATTGTTACTGGAAGTCACATTCAAACAAGCCACATTTAAACAGTGTATGTGCTATTTTAGTCTTTTTCACGCTCCTGACATGTGGCACCAAGCGTAGGAATTCAGCAATAGAAACAGACAAATTTCCTCGTCCATCGACCTCCACTAAACACTAAACTAGTGTTGTGTCTGAATTGCATACTTATGTACTATTCCAGACCATTATTGAGTACTAACACTAACCAGTTTTTACATCACAGTTAGTAATTTTAAAAACCTCTCATGTAGCCTTCAATGGTCTATTTTGCATACCAGTGTTCTGGATTCTTAAATACTTTGGAATGTAAGGTCAGAGTTTTTGATTTCGATATAACAATACAGCAGTTCCCATTAGACTGGTAAGTCAGTGCAAGGAATATTCCTTTGGTTTTTAGTCACTTATGTGACACATACATGTGTTACTAACATAATAAAATGTTCAAATGTTACAGTAGTCTGAAATTATAAATCTGGAATAAAAAATGTAAGGTAGTCAAGGCTTGGGGATGCAGAAAATTCATAATGTCCATTTTTGGGAACCCCTGCCTTATACGCTATCTGATGGGGACTGTACCATAAATGATAAGCAATCCACTGCCTCATGCCTAAGGTGCTAGCCTTTTTACAAGGACTGCTGGATAAGGACAAAATGCTTGTCTACGCTGAAGGTGTATGTGGCAGCCATTTCAGCCCATCACAACATTGTGCTCATAAGCTCATATCAGCATTCATGAAAGGAGCTAGATGCCTACATCTACTGTGGGATCTCCCCCTCATATTGGAGTCCCTTAAGTCCTCTTTCTAAGAATCCATTCTGGATATTGATCTGAAATGGGTCTCATTGAAAACAGCCTTTCTGCTGGTGATCAGCTCAGCAAGAAGGGTGAGAGAATTGCAATGTTGATAAGCTTCCCGTGCATAAATTGGATGGTCAGACTGTGGAGTGACCTTGCGGCCAAACCCTGGGTCATAACTGACCAGTTCTGATGCAAGATTAACTTGTACCAGAATGATGGGAAGACAAGAGTATGGAGAAGGAAAGGAAGGGCTCATGATCCAAAGAATACCCCACCATCTGTCAAACATGTGGAGGCAGTGTTATGGCATGGGTATGTATGGCTGCCAATGGAACTTGGTCACTGGTGTTTATTGATGATGTGACTGCTGATAGAAGTAGCAAGATGAATTCTGAAGTGTATGGAGCTATACTTTCTGCTCAGATTCAGTCAAATCCTGCAAAACTGATGGAGCTTCAGAGTACAGATGGATAATGATCCAAACGTACCACAAATGCAACCTAAGAGCTTCTTAAGGCAAAGAACTGGAATGTGATTAAATGGCCAAGTCAGTCACCTGACCTCAACCCAATTAAGCATGCTTTTCACTTACTGAAGACAAGACTGAAGGCAGAAAGACCCACAAATAAGCAGCAACTGAAGGTGGCCGCAGTAAAGGCCTGGCAAAGCATCCCAAAGGAGGAAACTCAGCATTTAGTAATGCCCTTGGGTTTATGGCAGTCACTGACTGCAAAGTATTAAAAATAATCCTAATATTTATGATTATGTTAGTTTGTCCAATTACTTTTGACTCTGTGAAAATGGAAGGACTCTGTAAAAAAAATGGCTGTAATTCCCAAAAGGTTAATGCAATATTTTTATTAAACCCATTGAATTAAAGCTGAAAGTCTACACTTTAATCACATCTTGCTTCAAATCCATCGTAGTGGTGTATAGAGGCAAAATTACGAAAATTGTGTCACTGTCCAAATACTGACTGTATAGGGAGCTCCACTGTCTAAGCAGAGATGTACTTTCTCCAGGTTCTATAAGGTCAACATTGCTCTTCCTGAATGGAGTGTGGTGATCATCTTTGAACACCTTCCCAGTTGGCCAGGTGAGTTGGTTCTTCATGACCTTGTGGCCCAGGGGTATTCAGGTGTTAAACACTGCCCCTGATGGTTAGGAGGGGTGAACTAGAATGCTAGTTACAAATATAACTGTGTTTCTATGAATGCTGGATAACCGCCAGGGTTCCTTGTCATTTCAGGGAGGCTTCAGGAGTGATGGTGCAGAAGGTATTATTAGAGCAAATACAATAATATACTGTATATATAATATTATTATTTATTATAGCATACATATTATTAGGGTCCCTGGAGGACTAGTGGTTAGGTCACAGCGCCCTCGCTGCCACGGACCGGGTTTGATTCCCGGCCAGGGGGCCAGCCTCACCCACTGGGGTTGCACATGACAGTGCGCTCCCCGTGCCGGTCCCAAGCACAGATAAAATTGGGGAGAGTTGTGTCAGGAACGGCGTCCTTTATAAGAACTGTGCCAAATCAATTATGCGGACCAATGATCAGCTGTGGCAACCCCTAAAAGGAGCAGCCGCAAGAAGAAGAGCAACAACATTATAGCAAACATATTATTATTATTATTATTATTATTATTATTATTATTATTATTATTATATTTCAAGTTCACTTTATGCAACCCTGACTTGCATGTGACATAATAGTTACTCTTTCTAAATCACCCACAACATGCCCATTATTTGCTTGCTCAATTTATCCCACTGTATATGCAAATTAGTGTTTGTTGTTTTAGATCTAGGTAAATCAGGGCCTTTGTGTTCTGTCATGGATTCTATTATATCAGCTTGATCTAAGTGTATGTTAGGTGCAGTTGTAGAAAATTCTGCTTGGTTACTAGGATATCCCTTGATGTTATTGTGGGCTCAGAGTTCAACTATTTCAACCAAACTTAACTTTGTTGACACTGGAGGAAATATTCTGTCTCACCATGTTATGCGCCAATGATTTATGTGAAATATCCAAAGAGTTATAAAAGTACAAGATGGCAATTTAACAGATCAGCAGCGGTTTAATGCATCAGTTCACTGGAGAGGAAACAACATATTTTCTGTTCCATTTCTAGGGCTTCAATGTTCTGTCTTTAAGGAAACAAAGGATTATGTATTTATGTGTCACCGCTTTTCAGAAGCATTTTCATTATTGTTTTTACATTAACCATAAATAAGTGTGGAGGGTCTAGAAAGTCAAGGTGACTTGACTCATATTATAATCTGGAAGATATTTTGGTATTCATATATGTGGGTTAATCAATTCACTTACAAGATGCCAGACATAAATGACATGGGTGACTGAAAATCTTCAAAGCTTCTTCAGAGCGTGACTCACACCTGAACAGACCCATCACACACTTGGTATTTCACAATAATGGCTAATATTGTGATTATTTTTGCTAAGCATTGAAATCACAATTATTAATAATAATTATTCTTCCAGTTTTGGGACATTTTACAATTTAATCTTTTTAAATAATCAGAAAACAAAATTAAATGGTATAAACCCTTGAATAAAAGAAGACTGCTCATTTAATGGTGATATCAATAAAATAAAAATTTTAATGTTAAATCTAAATAAATAAATAAACAAATAAATAAATAAACAAGCCAGCCATTCAGCAAAGTATGCAACCAAAATGCCAGTTAAAACATATGAATGGGGACTGTTATGGCCAGTTCGGTCCTGACCATAACACAGAGTTGTTATTTAAGGAAAAAATGAGCTATATTTATTAGATCAAAACCATCAGTATTTGTGATTTAGCGAAAAATGGCCTAGGGGAAAAGTATGTGTAACATGGCATGGTTCCGTGTGATTATGGGTACCGGAATGAGAGAGAGAGGGCAGTTTCAGGTATGCCCCTTTTATTCACCCCTTCTCAGGTAGGGCAATCATCCAATTATTGACTCAAACATCATCTAGTGCCATTGCACTGATACCACAAGGCCAGTTGAGGGAGCATAGGGTCGTTATAGGACCTTGTGTTTTAATGTACCAATAAAAATGGTTAACATTCACCAATTATCAAACTTCTTCTAAGCTCATCAATATCACAGTAAATTATGTTCAGCTACTTGAGGTACACAAAAATTGGTTATATCAATGAAAATCCAGTTAATTGCATAGCCCTAAACACTATATACAAACACACAGCAATGTGGTCTCTGAGACATGTTCCCAGTGCCTCAGAAAACTGTTCAGTTACTGCTCAGTTAATCTTGTCAAGGACTGCTGTGATTTATAGCCAAGCTTTAAAAAAGTCTAGTTTATAGAGGTCATAGACAGCAGTTATTGTTATTTTACCAGAAGTTAGGTCTGCAAGTCCACTTCAGTATACTCTTATTTAATCTACTTGTGAGCTTAGAAACCACTACTTTCCTCTCTGTTGTCTACACCAATTCAAGGCTATCCTTCAGGTAGGGAGGGATCCAGGGAGAGAGAGTGAAAGGCACTGTCATGGGCATTACACTGCAAATAGGGAATGGCATGATACACACCTGTGTTCTCTAGATATATTCTTGGATTCTCTGTTTTGACATCAATTCATCCCCTCTTCCCCTCTATTTCCCTCTCCCTTTCTTTCTCTGTGAGCAGACCCTCATAGGCACTGGGCCAAAAATATGCTTAGAAATGTAAATTCATAAAGTGTAGTTCTGTAATGTAATAACTGTTTAAGTAGCTTCTTCCAAGAAAAGATACAGAAAAAGCTCTTCTACACAAGGATGATGCCATGCCTATCTGATCACAAAGCCTTTTGTATTCTGTTCCTCTCTCTTAGAATAAGAGATATAAGTCAGTGTTGGTGAAATTAATGTTTCACCATTGAGGTTATCATCTCTATGGCTCGCGGGAGTGAAAAACACAGACACAGCCTCTCAACCATGTGAAAGGAAATTCAGCTGTGTAGTTTCATCGGGGCCTTCCTTCAGTTTGTCACTGGGGTGACACCCCAAGGCTGCACAGTGTCTGAGCATGGGCAAACCAGTGTTCTCACGGGACCAGGATATTCTTCGTTCAACTTTCTATGAGAGCTGATCCAAACATAGAGCACGTGAGAAAAAATGCAGGCCACAAAAGCTCAGAAAATGACTGCGGCTGTCCCTAATGTGAAGCAACCATTCTCAAGATGGTTTAGGATTATTTACCCAGTAGCTGAACAGAAATTCAAAACTGAACATTTGAATCCATTGAGATGTCTTCTCCCATGAATCCCTAATGCCACTGGTACTAAACCACCAGAATCATTGCTTCCTATTTTTCTGAAAAGAGTGCTTCAACCATGGCCTCCCAGTTCCCATGAATCAATAAGAAGACACACAGATGGTTATCATACATCTACATTTAGTTCCAAATAAACATTGCATGGCTAGTGGGCAGAAACAGAGAAGGACACTAAACTAAATGTATTTTTCTAGCTGGAGGAAAATTGGTGGATATATCAAGCTTAAGCTGGCCTTCTACACAAAGCTACCTGTTTATTAGGTACACTGTTCACTTTCACATAGCATGTACAATCTAACAAGTAGACAGCGAGAGAAGTGTTTGTGCTGAATTGAGCATGGGAATCAGAAAAGCAAGTAACCTTATTAACTTTGAAAATGGTATGACAATTGTAGCTAGGTATGTAAGTTTAACATTTCCCATGGTGCAAAAAAAACAAAAACAAAAACCCTACCAGCAGTCACAGGAGCCAAATCAGGCAGTGGTTTAGGGTTTGATCGCAGTTAAAGGTAAGAGTATTTCTTATAAGACCTTTTTCACACTTTTGTGTTACAAATGTGGAAGCATAAGTAGTAGCGTTTCAAAACTTCTGGTGTAGTGAACAATGGCAGCAAATACAGCTCGCAATCACTGCAGCGTCGACATCAAAAATATATTGTCCTGACTACGCAGCTTGTAGACCACGACCACGCGGCTGTTCCTCCTCCAGGTCAGTGGGCTGTGGATATAAAAAGTCTACACACCCCTGTTAAAATTGCAGGTTTATGCGATATAAAAAATGAAACCAAGGTAAATCATTTCAGATCATGTTCAACAATGTCACATAGCAACCAACAAAATTCAAGTGAAAACAAATATTAATGTTTGTTAAAGTCTGCATACCCTTTTATAATGGGGTATATGACTGTGCTCAGTATTAACCAATCACATTCAAAACCATGTTCAAAAGTAATTATCATATAGCTGTCCTCAATGAAGTGAAGTGATGTGTGGCCAAGTATGGTGACCCATACTTGGAATTTGTGCTCTGCATTTAACCCATCCAAGTGCGCGCGCGCGCACGCACACGCACGCACACACACGCACACGCGCGCGCACACACACACACACACACAGTAGTGAACACACACCTGGAGCAGTGGGCAGCCTTTTTTGCTGTGGCGCCCGGGGAGCAGTTGGGGGTTCGGTGCCTTGCTCAAGGGTCTCACCTCAGTTGTGGTATTGAGGGTGGAAGAGAGCGCTGGTCATTCACTCCCCCCACCAACAATCCCTGCCGGACCTGAGACTTGAGGGGGGTGGGGCTGCTCAAGTCACCTTACTCTGAGCCAGATTACTAGTTCCCAATCACTTATAGAAATAGCCATCATCCACCCATCCACTCACTCAGCTGAAGCACTCAGTCTGTCAGTGTATAAGCAATGGGCTATAGTTTGTATTGAAAGCTGTTTTTCTTTCTCCTTTCTCACTAAGCACAGCTGAAACATTTACAAATTGCATCTGTTCCTTTTTTTTTAAGTAC